CACACACACACAGCCCACCCAGCCCTCCTCCCCGCCCCTCCGCCTTCCCGTCCCTGCAGCTGCTGCTGGCTGACGAGCAGGAGGCCCTCAAGGTCACCTCCACAGGCCTCAAGGTGTTCGAAAGGCACGAGCTGCGGGAGCGGCCCAACAAGAACCAACAAGCCGCCAAGGACGGCGGCCCCGCGGCGGGGGCGGGCAGCGGCGCGGGCGCAGCGGCGGCGGCGGCGGCGGAGGGCCCCCTGGATGGGGAGCAGGCGGCGGCGGCGGCGGGGGCGGGGGTGCAGCGGACGTGCCACTACCGGCCGGTGCAGGAGGGGCTGCCGTTCATCCTGCCGCACCTCACCAAACAGGTGGGGGTCTGGGGGCGGCCCGAAAACGGGGCATGCGGCGCCACGGCAGCGCTTGCGGTCTTGACCTGGCGATCTTGCGCGGCTGCCGCCTCAGAGCAGGCCAGAGTGCGGGTGGGGGTATGTGTTGGGTGGTGCTGCTGGCCGTCGACCCGCGTATCGCATCGCGTTGCGCCCAGGTGATGACGCTGCCTGTGGCGGACTTCAAGCTGCTGCTGGCGGAGCGCAACCTGCCCCTCCTAGGCGGCGGCAAGGGGGCAGACCCCAAGCAGCAGCAGCAGCAGCAGCCAAAGCAGGCCCTCAGCGCCGCCGCCCTCTCGGCGCTCGAGAGCATTGCCAGCGGCGGCGCGGTCGCGCGCCTCGCGCCCGCCGACGCGGCGGCGCTCGGCCTTGCGGGCGGCGCCGCGGGCGGAGAGGATGACGACGGCGGCGCCCTCGCGGCGAGCGCGCCGCCGGCGGTGTGCGTCTGGCGGACGCGCGCCAGCCTCAGCGTATTGGTTACCAAGGCGGAGAGCGACGACATGCTGGAGAAGATCGTGGCCGGCGAGGGCAAGCACAAGGCGGCGAAGCCGCAGGTGGCTGCGGCGGCGGGCGGCGGCGAGAGGGCGCAGAACGCGCCTGCGGTCGCGGCGCTTTGACGGGTGCTGCGAGCGACGAGCTGCGTGCTGCGCCGCTGCCTGGGTGTTGCGTCGTCTCCTTTGTGGGCCTTTGTCCGACAGGGGTGGTATGGCCTGGAGTAACAATCAAGGAGCTCTCAACCCTGCCCTCGTCATCGGTCCAGCACACACAGGCTGCCCGCCACGGGTAATGCCGCAGACAGAGTAAGCCGCAGTCTCAGTGTGCATCCCCCCGTCAAGGCTGACTGAATGGTGACCGAGTCGTATGTTGCATGAGGAGACCCCTACTGGGATTAAAATCGACGCGTTTCAGCGCAACAGAGAAACACACACACACGCACACACACATACACACACACACACACCACACACATGTACGCAAGCACACACAACACATGCGCACGCACACATGCACGCACATGCACACGCACCACGGCGTATCAAAAAAGGTAGGGCACCCCCGACAGAACGCGTGCAAAAATCCTCGCACCTTGCAGGGTACTGGGCTGTCACATGACATCACATTATTCAAGTCCTCCGCTTCCCCTCATAAACAATAAAGTGTGACTTTTGCCCCATCTTGTCATACAGCCCCCTGGCGCGGTAGTTGAACTCCTGAGTCATCCAGTACACCTTGGACGCGCCCTGGGCGTGCGCGGCGGCGTAGACTGCTTCGATCAGCGCCGCGCCGACGCCTTTTGCGCGCACCTGCCGGCAAAGCGACGCGGTTGGTGCAGGAATCATCATGAGGGGACAAACTGGGCGTAAATAATCAAAGTGCACCCATCGGCGCGCCGGGGCAATCAAGCTCGGGGGCGCAGGGGGCGGCTGCGCTGGCGGGGCCAAACGCCACGATGAGCCCCGACTGTGTATCGCTTCTGTGTGTCGCAATTCGACAGTCGACCGGGGGCCCGGCTGCGGCTCACCCCTTGGTCGACATACAGGTCTTCCAGGTAGCAGTAGTGGGTGGGTGACCAGGTGGAGCGGTGCAGCAGCAGGTGCGCGATGCCCACAAAATCACCGCCGCCGTCGCCGCCGCCGCCGCTGGGGCCCTCGGCGACGAGGCCCTGGTGGTTGCCCTCGCCGCCTGCCATGAGGCGCTGCCAGGTCAGCTCAATGACGTCAGCGGGGACCTCGGCCTTGTACCTGCCAACGGGATCAGGGGGCGGGGCCGAGGATAGGGCTGCCACTGGTGACTTGCCGGTGGTGCGCAGGCCGACGAGCCGCTTGATCGACACTGCAGGGACATGGCGCACGCGATGCTCCCGCGACCTTTCACGGCATGAGTCAACAGCACTGCAAAAGTTTGCGTGCCTCTGGCTGCCCCGAACTCTCCACGCCCACCATGTGATATAGTCCCGGAAGAGCTGCAGCCACCGGGGCTTGTCGCCCTCCCGCAGCGGCCGCACCACCACGCCACTGTTGCCAGGCGCCGCGGCGCAGTCCGCGCCGCTGCTCAGGCCGCCCATCGCGCTGTCTTGAAGGGACATGGTCGCTGAGGGCGCAGATGCAGCAACGGCCTGCGGCGGTTGACGGGTGCACATCGCGCCAGTCAGCCCAGCGCCTGTGGGACAGGTCGACACAATCTGTATGCAGCTGCATACAGTAGCCCGATCAGTGACGAAGCGTAGACTCCGGCATACAAGTCCGAGCCAGGTTTGTATAAGAGCGTTCGAGCCTCAGCGCAAATTCCATGTCGCGCAGTACGGTAATCCGTCTGTTGTGGGTAGCAAAGTCCATAGGCATATTACTGCTTCAAGCCCTTCAGAAGGGGTCACGTGCACCGGTGGCAGGGCGCCGTGGAAGCGGCGCCTCGCTGTCCTCAACCACGAGCTCACAGTTTTGCTGGCCTGTGAGCAGTGGGTGTCCACGTTGCAGAGATACACGTGTTTCTGTGCTACATGGTAGGTTCGACGCTGCCCCAGCAAGGCTCGCTCGTCCTCACCCGCTGCGAGTGCTGGGTGACACCTGTCGCAGTCAACCTGTTGTCAACCCTGCCAATCAACCCCTCAAGATGCGCATTTGAGGCTCGCAACCACCAAGGGGCCACCATGTGCACAGGAATTGCACTCATGCAATCGAGGGTGCCATTCCTCGAGGTGCCAATCATCCCGGCAACTCAGTGGGGCGAGTTGCACTGCGCTGGGGGCCCCTTGCGACAAGGCCTCGACTCTGCTTTCAGCGTTGCTCATCACCTTCACACGGGACGCGCCTAGCAGTAGATGACCTGCGCTTGCCCTCAAAGTGGGAGGTTATATCGCTGTTTGCAGCCTAATGCCTGGCAGCTGCCCGGCTTCTGCCGGTGATTTTGCCACCACCACACGCTGTTCATCTCGTGCGATTGCCGAAAGCGCCGCACCTCCAGGGGGAAAGTCGCAACGGAGCGCGTTTTGACCATGCAGTTGGGGTTCTAAGCTGCATATCCACTGGAACAGTCCGTTTACTGTATTGATGGGTGGAAGGGTCCTCTCATCGGTCACAGCGGTGAGGAAATTTGTGCATTGTGTAAACGGATGAGAGGTACGGGTCAAGTGTTGCCAACTGACCGTGTGCTGGCAAAGGACCACAATCGGGCCTGAGAATGTACTCATGTAAAAACGCAGGCATGTGCTGCATACAATCCACAGCTTTGATCCGGCTCTTGTAGCCTAGCGGCGGCGAACACACCTGAGCCGAGAAACTCAACCTCTAAAACAAAGAAACTCTGGACACTAAGGGGGGCAGCAGGCGCAAGCGCAAACACGACAGCAGGATCCAGACCAAAACTCTTGCGCCAAATCAGGTCGTAAACACACTAACGTCATAAAGGAGGCGATAAACGACGGACTGCAGTAGTGCAGGAAACAGCTGCAGCACGTGTTGACTTTCCTTCAAGCCAGGTTTGTGCAGAAAAGACAGGAAGCCTCCCCTCAGTAAAGATAAAAAAAAACACTCACGAGTTTTCGTTTGGGTCCACACCACACAACAAGTGGGTGGATGGTGCTGGCATGCTAGCTTGCTGTGTCTAACAATGTCCTTCGCTGCCATCGACTGGGTTGACACACGTGAGGCTTGCGCAGTTCTCACCAGACCACGCAAGCCTTGCCTCACTGCAGGGGGGCAGGGGGCGGCGAAGGAGCGCGAGGCAGCGGCATGATGGTGAGCTGGCCAGGTGTTTCATAGACCAGGTCGTCAGGCGCGCCTGCATGAGCTTTCTTTGCCCTGCAACCTTTGCACTCCAGGCCTCTTAATCAATAGATCAACCACAAGCAAAAGGTGAGGGCGGCGGCGGCGACGGCGGCGGCGGCAGCAGCAGCAGCGGCTGCCCCGCACGCCAAGCCACAACTCACCTGTACAAGCCCGCGAGCATGTCAGCCGTCTTCCCAGCCGGCAGCGTCGCCACCCACGTGCATGTCATAACGTCCTGGGGACCCAGCATCAACACCTCGTAACCGTCGTCCGGGCACGACGCAAACACGCCGTCGTAGCTGCTGCCGCCGCGCCCGGCCATGTGAACTATGATCACCTCCAAGGCGATATAGTCCGTGCCCGCGTTGATGATCGTCACAGTGCCTGCCAGCACCGTGCGCGCGTTCTGCCCGTCGGCGCCGGTGCCGGCGCGCTCTTTGGGAGCCGACACCGTTGCGTTGACGCGCTGCGCAAGCTCAATGCACGCCTCGTCCTCCTGGTCTACTGGCGCCCGCAGGAGGCGCGCCCTGCGGCGCGGGGCCGTCTGGTCGGCCGGTGGCGCGCCCGGCTGGTGAGAGGCTGACCGCAGCTGCAGCCCCCGCGCTGGGAGCTGCGCTGTGGACTTGACTGCAGATGGCGGCACCGCCTGAAGCAACCGGCGGTTCGTGGTGCGGACGACTGGTGATGCACCGCGCGCCCAACCTGCAATAGTGCGGGGGACGAACGAAGCTGTTCGAGGAAAGCCTGGCATGCGATTGGGCTCATACTCCACGGGTGCGTCGCTGCGCCGCACCGCGCACGACTGCGCAATAATTGCGCTTGATCATGACAAGCAGCAGCCACCTGCAGAGCTGCAACACGCCCGCCCGTCCCCACCTGTGTCAAGCCCAGCTGCCGCAGCCCTACAAGCCAGCTGCAACATGCTCAGCGCCAAGAAGACTCTCAAACAACTGCTGGTGGTGCTGCAGCTGGAGCTGCAGCTGGTGCCGCCTTTGCTGCAGCAGACCATCCTGCTTGCTGCACCGTGGCCCACGCTGCGTCTGCAGTTCGTCGGCAAGCAGAACTTGAAGCACTTGGGCGCCGCAAGCTGGGTAACAACTTTCCGTTGAGTAAGATCGCCACTTCATCCAGACAGAGCCTGGCTCCTTGATCCAACCAGCTGCCTGCTCCTGTTTGTCATGTCCCTGGCAAAGGTGGCGTCGGCTGACTGACCGGGCAGGGCTGCTCTGGCGGTGTATATCACGTTTGCACGTTGAACGGGTTTTGCAACGGATTGGGTCGCTTCTTTGTCGCTCGCGCTCAGCTTCACTGGATCTCGCTCACAGCTCACAGCTCCTGGTTTACGACAGCATGTCGGGGATCATCTGAAGCAGCTCACGGACACTTATGATAGTAGCTGGCGATATGGCTACAACGTCATAAATACACACGGATCATAGCCGGAGGCAACCAGTTTCCAAGGGAGCGAGCATTGGGAGCGAGCATTGCACACACGTTTGCTTGCGCACACCAAGCGTGCAGGTTGCCCCGCCGCAGATGACCCACTCTTGCATAGTACATTGTGTTTGGCAGCTGTGCGGCCATGCCTGTCCCTCAATTGGTATGCTGTACGTGCTGCGGGTGTATATAGTCTGCTGGTGACGCAGCATGGTATGTTTGAACTAGGGAGGGGGCCCGGCAGTGGGCGTGCCTGCGTCCACGGTGGCCCAACATCGCCAGACCGCAACATTCAGTCACAACTATTTCCATTCCCACCGCAAGATAGTATGCGCCAAGATGGGCGCATCATTGCACGTATGAGCACACTAGGAGCAGTCCAAGCAGCAGATGCAGCAGACGTGGGCTCCAAACAAGCGCCCATTCTCACCCCGCCCCTCGTGGCGTTCTGAGCTTGTGCGCGATGCCAGATTCCTATCATTCAGATACGTGCGCTGTGTGTCCAGGACATCACCTCATGACCTCCCTGCAGTACATTGCCGTTGTACCATCTCGCACTGGCTACGATTACACAGCACCAAACTCACACTCACACTTGGAGGGATCAAAATGAGCGTGTGATGCAAGATCCATACAAATAGCCAACAAACTCACGTTGCCTGAATTGAGACGCAATCCTAACGTGCTCAATTCTGCCTAGACGTCTAGCATCCTATATCACCTGTGCATGCCTGCGTTATTCCCCACCCTTGAAAGTACACCTGCAATCCCTGCTCAAGCCACCATGCAAAGATGCACTGGCCCCTCCACATGTACACTTGCGCACAACATTCATTGTGTAACCTTTATCAGAAGGTAGGATGATGAACACCGTATGCACATCTGCCACACGCAAGAACAGGGGCCAAGAACACGGCACACCCTGCAGATGGTCCTCGGGTGTCTGAGCTATTGACAGAAGATCTTGGGCACCATATGTCACGTGATCCAAGAACGTGTTTGAGTACGGGGCAGCGACAGCTGCGACAATCCGAAGTAGAGAAGCGCACCCAGCTGAGTGGCAGCTGCTCCCAAGTTCCAACCTTGCATTTTTCTCTCTTCACGGCCAACTACGATGAGATCTGCGCACAACATTTATTGTGTAACCTTTATCAGAAGGTAGGATGATGAACACCGTATGCACATCTGCCACACGCAAGAACAGGGACCAAGAACACGGCACACCCTGCAGATGGTCCTCGGGTGTGTGAGCTATTGACATAAGATCTTGGGCACCGTATGTCACGTGATCCAAGAACGTGTTTGAGTACGGGGCAGCGACAGCTGCAACAATCCGAAGTAGAGAAGCGCACCCAGCTGAGTGGCAGCTGCTCCCAACTTTCAACCTTGCATTTTTCTCTCTTCACGGCCAACTACGATGAGATCTGGTGTTACAGATAGTGGATTAATTATTGATTCGTTGCATCGTTATGATTTTGCCGCTCATTTGGCGCTTCGCTCCGAAATATACGACCGCGCGCGCCAGATCTGCTCAACCGTCATCGCGGCATGCCGCCCGCGCGTTGTATACTTCAGTATTACAGGCGATCAATAGATCGCTATGCAGTCTTCGTGGCCATCGGGAGCAGGGTTTGAGCCTCGGCAGCTTGACGACAGGCAACAGCACCAGCAGATGCAGGCTGCGCTCCCACAGCAGCAGCACCCACTGCAGCAGCACCTGCAGCAGCAGCACCTGATGCAGCAGCAGCAGCAGCAGCAGCAGCAGCAGCAGCAGCAGCAGCAGCAGCAGCAGCAGCAGCAGCAGGGGCGCCTGCAACATCAGCAGCAAACTCCGCATCAGAACCCTCAACAGCAGCAACAGCAACAGCAGCAGCAGCAGCAGCAGCAGCAGCAGTGGCGCCCCCGACAGCAAACGCTGTCGCCATTTGGGCAGAACAGCGACCAGCAGCGGGTGCACCCAGTGCCGCTGCGGCCGAATACGCTGCATGGTGACATGCCGCTGTCTGGAGGATTTGCCCCACTATACAATACACAGCGGGACTTCCAGCCACCACAGCTGCAGACCTACGCCAGTCCCCAGCAGCCTTATGGTGGACCTCAACACGGCTTTCAACCGTCATGGCAGGATGATGGCCCAATGGCGCACATTGACCACAGCCTGCAAGGTCCCCTGGCGCCGTCCTTCGCCAGCCAGCCACCCCACCCGGCACAGGGGTCAGCACCGCCGCCGCCGCTGCACCCATATGGGGGCTTGCCCGCGCTCAATCACTTGGGCAGCGCAGGCCTGGGGGACGAGCCAACAGCGCCCATGCAGGAGGGGGGTGACCGCCTGCGCGCCGTGCGCGAGCTGCCCGAGGTGTTTCAGCCCCTCTTCAGCTTCAGGTGGGCCGCGCATGCGGCGCGCATGCTGCACCTGAGTCGCATGCGGGGCCATGCGTGGCTTCAGCAGCCGCCCAAAGCCCATGCAGGTACATGCATGCGCATGCAAGGACCGCAGGTGATGCATTAGCCAATCTGCCTGCCGCCCTGGCCCACCTCTTGAAGATACTTCAACTTGGTTCAGTCGGAGTGCTTTGATGCGGTGCATGGCTCGGACGCGTCCATGGTGGTCGCCGCCCCAACAGGCAGCGGCAAGACGGGTGCGCATGCGTGCAGCGCACGGACGCCTGCAACTCCAGGGGTGCTGGGGATGACTGCGCCTTACATGAGTGCCCACGCCCCTGTTGGTGGCGAAGCTGCGGCCCCCAACGGATCATCATGCTGATCACTTGAGCCCAACGCCGCCCTTTGCGCGGCAGGTGTGATGGAGCTGGCGCTGCTGCGGCTGTGGGGCAAGCGGCTGGATGCAGAGGGGCAGCTGCAGCCGCCGCAAGGGCGCACCAAGGCCGTCTACCTGGCTCCCATCAGGCAGGCGGCCCGTGCATCCCGCATCCTTGGCGCGCTGCCGCTTGTGGGCATCTTAAAGCTGCATGAGCGCATGCGGTCAGCCTTGAGCCGTTTGACAGCTCGTCCCTCATCGTGCGCGCCGGCGTGCAACGGCGCCGCCTGGCCCCTCGCAGGGCTCTCGTCCAGGAGCGCCACTTGGACTGGTCGGCGCGTTTTGGGCCGCTGGGTCTCAGTGTTGTGGAGCTCAGCGGCGACAGCGACCCCGAGCCGCGGGAGCTGGAGGGCGCGGACCTCATATGCACCACGCCGGAGAAGTTTGGTGCGCGGGGTTTGGGTCTTGCGCTGGATCGTGTGGGTGCAGGGAGGGCATCAGGGGGCGTGCCCAGGCTCCTAGGCATGCTGCAGGCCGTGCCGAAGCTCGCGCCTGCCACCATTGGCGTGCAAGTGTGATGAGGCACATTCATCAAGCCGGGAGCCGTTTTGTCACACCTCTATCGTGCCAATGTATCAAACCTCCTCGATTCCCGGCTCCAATTTTGTGCTGAGCAGACCAAACATCGCGAACAGCCAAGGAGGCGGGCTCAGCCGGCTTCCTGGGCGACGTGAGCGGCCGATGCTACGTCTGCTTGCATGGCACTCCGTTGCAGGGCTCGAAACGGTCTTTGGGCCGTGCCCGCCAAGGGTCCATTGTGCACCCAACACAGTACCAGCTGCCGCTCCCACAGCTCTCTCGTGTTGGTATGGGGACCCTCACGGCCTCAACAACCTCGTGCACCTCTACCCACAACACCATTCTAATGACATCTGTTCTTCAATCAATCTCCTAAACACTATTATACTCACACACCCACACACACACCCAAACACACACACACACACAGATCTCCTTGCTGCTCATCGACGAGGTCCACCTGCTGCACGAGGCCGGTCGCGGCGCTTGCCTAGAGGCCGGCACGGTCTGCCGCCTCAAAATGCTTGCCGGCCTCCCAGAGATGGCCGGGGTGAGCAGGCGGGCCAGCGGGGAACAGGACGCTGGGTGACCCCAGCCGCCCCAGCAGCGCCCGCAGGCCCCCTCTATAAACAGACCAGGAGCGCCGCGTGCATGTGCTGCTGCCCATTCAAGTGGGGCCCCCGCGCGGCGCTTCATTCCTACAGCGGCGGGCCGGCTGGCAACGCTCTCCTGCAGGCACCGGTCACATCAGTGCGCTGCCTGGCGGTCTCGGCCACAGTGCCTAATGCCGCCGACATCGGCGCCTGGGTGGGAGCGCCGCCTGGCATGGTGCGGGTATACGGGGAGGAGCTGAGGCCGGTCAAGCTCACAACCCATGTCAAGGTGCGCGCCTGCGCCCCCGCGCCAAGCCTCCGCCTTGACATGGTGGGGCTGCGCCGCAGCCTGACCAGCCAAGCCAAACGCCTCATATGATGCTCACATGACTGCATGCTCAGACCTGGTCAATCTGATCTGGTCTGACCTGTTTGTTACTGCACAGGGCTACGCCCCCGCCAAGAACGATTTCCTGTTTGAGCGTCGCCTGAGCGACCAGGTGTTTGGCGTTGTGGCAGAGCACTCCAAGGGGCGACCCGCGCTGGTCTTCTGCAGGTAAGTTTGGGACCCGCCTCGGGGTGTGTGCCGCTGCCCTGCATGCCCTCGCTTTCCAAAGGCTGCCTCTTGCCCCACGCGCATGTCGCCACTCTCCGCATGCCGCGTTTGAAAAGTACCCCCGTCAGTGCCACCAGCTGGCCACCTAACCCACCAGGCTGTCTGAAACGCACAAATTGTCACTTGACGGAACGCCATCCTCTCCCCGCTTCCCCTTGCGTTGCAGCTCCCGCACCAGCACAACCGACACGGCCCAGGCGATCGCCAAAGAGGCCCAGCAGCGCCGCGGCGGGCCCGGCGGCACGGGCTCGGGCGGCGCGTTCGTGCGGGGCGCGGCGCAGCAGCAGCGCCTGCAGCAGGCGGCGGCGGCCACCAAAAACAAGGCGCTGCAGGTGCGGGGAGCCAGGGTCACTTTGCAGGGCAGGCTGGCGTCGCTGCTCATCTAGCGGCCGCTCCACTCCGCCCCACCTGGTTAGCGGTCTCATGTCACAGTTCCAGCGCAGCCCGCCCTGTTCTGCCGCCCGGTCGTCCCATCCCGCTAGGCCGTTTTGCCTTGGGGGGTCGCGTTTCACAACGCGGCGATGGAGGGGGACGACCGCGCCCTGGTGGAGGGGCTGTTCAGGGAGGCGGCCGTGATGGTGCTGGTAAGCCTGCAGGGCCAGGGCTGCAGGGTTGGGGTGACTGCGGGGTTGCACGGGATGGAACGCCGCAGATCAAGGGAAGGGTTTGTCGCGACCAGGGGCGGGCATGCAGCTGCTACCCAGGCCAGTGTACCAGACGCGCACCGCACAGACACGCGAGTGCTCGGAGCCAGGCAGATCTAGGAGGTCAGGGCTGCCTGCTGCTTCCTGCTTTGTGGACCGCAGTGCACCACGTCCACGCTGGCGATGGGCGTCAACCTGCCGGCGCACCTGGTGGTGGTCAAGGGCACCAGACGGGTGAGTGCGGGCAAAGGCGCTCTACACCCTGCGGATAGATACCCCCTTTCACAGGCGCAGCCTGCTTCATTGGTTTGTCAATTTCGGTGCGGCGGCGAGGCACCTGGTTGGCTCTGCAGCGCAGCTGCGAGGAGCGAGCTGCACTGACGGCCCTGTCGTGCTGCACCGCAGTACGTTGGCGGCCGCGACTCGGGGCCCGGCGAGGCGCCAGGCTATGCAGAGTACGCGCGGCACGAGGTGCTGCAGATGGTGGGGCGCGCGGGGCGGCCGCAGTTCGACACGGAGGTGCGTGGCCGGCTCGCTAGTACAACAAGGGCCCTGCGTTCCGCATCCAACCGAGTGCCTTGACGTCGCGCGAGCGGGCAGCAGCTGCTGGCGCTATGGGCCCCTCACGCCAAAAACACATGTACAGCGCAGGGCGCCTCTGCGCCCGCACCAACAACAGCGCGACTCCTGAGAGCAACGAACCTGCCTTCTCTGCGGGTATGCTCTTCTGACTTGCCGCCTGATTTTCCATTCTGTACCCTACCCCTACAACCTTGCCCCTGTGACTGCCAGGGTGTGGCTGTCATCATGACCCAGCGCTCCACGGCGGCGCGCTACGGCCAGCTGGCGGCGGGGCAGGAGGAGGTCGAGAGCTGCCTGCTGGAGTCGGTGGCGGAGCACGTCAACGGTGCGCGCCGCGGCAGGGCTGCTGTTGCTGCAGACTGCCAGGCCTGCTTGATCCGTGTGACGGGTGCGCGTGCGTCGCTTTGGATTCAGAGGGATGCTGGTTGATGTGCTGTCGTGCGGCCGCAAGCCGTGATGTGCAACCTTGGTGTACCATGCAGCGGGTACCGCGCGTGAACCGCACACACGCGCACGCCCCCCTCGCAGCCGAGGTGGTGCTGGGCACGGTGCGTGACGTCAGCATGGCCATCGCGTGGCTCAAGACAACCTTCCTGTACGTCCGCATCCGCAAGAACCCGGGGAGATACGGGTGGGCGCGCGGGATGGGTGCGCACTTTAGAGGGGATGGCGACAAAGCATGTGGCGGCGCGGCGGATGTGTTGAAACGCAAGCGGGATGCAGTTGTTGAGAACTTGAATTGGCGTGGTCAAATCATTGGGACGCGTAGGAGGCAATTTCCGCAGCGCCCAACTGGTTGCATGACTACGACCTCTCGCCCCCTTGCTGGCGCGACGCCTGCCGCCTTGTCCCCCAGCCTGGTTCTGCCCCCGGGAACGCCCCAGTCTGAGGTGGACCGCCTGCTGAGGGACAGGCTGGTGCTGGAGAACGTGAGTGGGACGCGGCACCAAGGGTTGCAAGTGCTTGTGCAGTTGCGTGGGCCTCAGTGTTCGGTTGGGGCATACTTTGTCAGGCGAGATGCAAGGCTTGATATCAGCGGCCCGCATTCCGCACCTGAACAGGCATGCATTACTACCAGCATGTCTTACTTCCTTACCGGCCCCTTCGTATTCTGTCGCTGGTTGACAGGTCAGCACCCTGGTGAAGCACGCACTCATGACTACAGATGATGAAAGCTTCGAGCTTAAGCCCACAGGTGAGGCGAGCCTCATGCGACACCTGATGTCAAAAATTGACGCCAGGCAGCTTCCGTGCACTGTCATCAACCAAACCCTGTCTTTGATGGAGCAACGGACCCATGTCAGCGCGAACACGCCTGTTGCTTGCCGATATGTCCTGCTGCCGCGCAAATGTCGAACTGCAGAGGCCGGCAGGCTGATGGCGCGGCACTTCGTGCGGCTGCCGACGATGGTGACGTTTGTGACGCTGCCGCGCGCGTCATCATCAATGGCGGCGCTGATAGGGGCGCTGGCGCGCGCCGACGAGTACAAAGGCATCATGCTCAGGAGGTGGGGTTGGGCGATGTCGGCATGAGCTGGTACGCATGTGGGTTTGTGTAGGGGTATGGTGTGTGTGTGTGTGTGTGTGTTCCAATTGCAACCTGTGCTCAGTATGTCTGCACTCTGCCATGAGGATGTTCATCTTTTGTGCCTCTTCATCATCAGCACCAATCCCTCCCAAAATGCTCGAATTGAATCTTATTGTGACTTCAAATTGTAGTACCTCTTGGTGCCTAACACAGGACCGAGAAGAAGCTGCTCAACACCATCAACCACCGGCCCTACGCCGAGGGCGGCTGCCGCTTCCCTGTGCTCGACCCGGCGGCCGGCAGTGGCGGCAACGGCGGGGCCCCAAGGAAGGTGCTCGCGCGCATACAGCGGCCGGATGAGAAGATCCAGATATTGGTGCGGGCCATGTGGCGTGGGTATAAAGAGAGAGAGATGTGAAGCGGGCTGTCCGCCCGCTCTGGAATGCTCCAGCCCCACCCGACTCTGCCTGACCCAACCCACTGCTTCTGGGGTATTGCCTGGCTGCAGCCATTCGTTGCCCGAAGCAACCCCACATCTGTTGCCCGAAGCAACCCACTCCTCTCCTCCTGCACCCGATTCTATCCCTGCTCGCCCCCCCCCCGGAACTCCTGTCCAGGTCAACGAGGCGCTATCTGACCGCCAGGGCCAAGGCCCGGGGGAGGCGCTGGACTACTCCCTCAGGCAGGAGCAGGACCAGGTGGGACGGGGCCCGGCTGGGCTGCACTGCGGCGGCCGACGCCGCAAAGCCTCCGCATGGCGCTCCTGTGAGCTGCCTGCACAGCTTTTAGAGCCAGGTGCTGAACGTGCACGGCCAATGATTGCTCCCAAGCCACCATCCGTTATGAAAAGCTTGTTCAAATGGTGTTCCTGTGCTTTCCGCAGCTGCTGCGTGTCGGCCAGCGCCTGCTGCGCTGCATGGCCAAGCTCTTCGCGTCAGACGGCCGCCTTGCCGCCGCGGGCAACGCCGTGCTGCTTGGCCGCGCCCTGCGGCAGCGCGTGTGGGAGGACAGCGGGCAGCAGTGCAGGCAGCTGCCGAATGTGGGGCGTCTCATAGGGCACAAGCTGCAGGTGGGCCCCTACAAGTGAAGCATGGTCGACTGCTTCGAGGGTGGGGGCTTCGTTGATTAATCTGTCCTGCCCGGCCTTGGAGGGTGCATGCTGTGGTACCCTCATGCGGCACTTGTCAAAAGGACGCATTCGAACACCGCTGACCGTGCTGACAAGCTACATTCGCCCATACACCTCCACAGTCGGCCGGCTTTGGCACCCTGGCGCAGCTGTTGGCTGCCGACCCCCGTCGCGTCGAGCTTGCGGCACAGAGGTGCGGCCGCGTGCGTGGACTGACTGGTGATGACGGCTGGGGCTTGGGCATGGGCCGACGCAACCACGAAGCTGCCCTGACTGCCCTCACCCTGTGCCCACCAACTTGCATTGGCCAGGGCCTATCCATTTGGCGCGACCCTCCAGGCGGACGCACGGGCGCTGCTTCCGCCCGCCACCCGGCTGCGCCTGCGGCAGCTGTCTGGCCAGTCTGGCGGGCCGGCAGAGTGCGAGCTCACCCTGACGCGCCTGGACGCAGCAGGTGGGGTGCAGGACCTGCCGGCACACATAAGCATCCCCTCCCCGTGGTGACATTAGGGCAGAAAACAGTCCCGCTGCTCGCTAGGAAGTCCTTCCTGCAAAGTGTGCGTCGTGCCGCTCATGCAACGCGCCTTGCTCATGCGACGCGCCCCGAGCCCCGCAGGGGCGGCAGACGCAGACGGAGAGGGTGACGTGGGCGGCATCGCGGCGGCGAGCGGCACGGCGGACGCGGCCGCCACGCTGCTGGTCGGCTGCCCAGGGAGTGACGCCCTGCTGCTGCACCGCAACGTGCGGCTGGGCAGCTTCCAGTCGCCCCTTCAGGTATGAAGGCTGTGCGCGTGCCCCCGCTGCTCCAGCACCAACCGCGCAACCTGCTGCTGAAAGATTTGGTCAAACCATAAGGGCACGCTTTTATCGAATACTCCGTTGCACGCACGTGACGCCGGGCCAGGCATCAGCCCTTCACGAACAATTTAGCCGCCTTGCTCAACCTCACCTCTCCCCCCCGCAGCTGCGCTTCAAGGTGCCGCAGCCGGCCCCGGGCGCCGACGCGCAGCAGCAGCAGGCGGTTGTGCTGGCGGCCCTGCTGCCGGACAAGCTCTCTGGGGCAGACACCACCGCGCACCTTGCGCTGCAGCTGCCGGCCAGGCGCAGCGGGCCGGCCGGCCAGCAGCAGCGGTCGCTTGAGCAGCGGGAGGCAGGGGAGGAGGGACGTGGCGGCGCAGGGCCTGGGGAGCGAGGACAGCCACAGCCTGGGCAGCAGCGTCCGGCGGCTGCGGATGTCAGAAGGCCGCGGGCCAATGACGGCGGTGCGCGCGATGGTGCCACCGCTGCAGTGGGCCGCAGCGGCGTGAGGCCGCCGCCAGCGCAGCCGCCGGCCAAGCGTCGCCGCATGCAGCAGCCGCCCGCCGAGCCTCCCGCGCCGAGCGCACGCGCCCAGCAGCTGCCAGGCGTGCAGCTGCCGCGGTCGCACGGCGATGGTATTTCGGAGGACTCGCATCACGAGCAGCAGCGCCAGCAAACGACGCCTCTGCCGGTGGGGCACACTGTGGCTGCAGATGGCGGCAGCGACGGCGCGCGCGGCGTTCGACTCAACAAGGCTGGCGCGGCAGCAGGCTACGGCCGCTTTCTGCTGCAGCTTGCCAAGGGCACAAGCGGTCAAGCGCCAGCTGAATGCCAGGCAGTGACGCCTCCACAGCAGCCTGAACATCATCAGCAGCAGCAAGGGAAGCAGCGGCAGCAATATCAACACCTGTCGTTCGCTGCAGCCGAGGGGGCGACCGTGGAGGTGACGCCGCCAGCCGGCGGCAGCGTGGCCGGCGATGCAGCCACAAACCACTACTCAGGACCAAAGGTTGGCGCGGCCCCAGCAGCCACAGGCCGTACAACGCCGGCCGGCGCTCCAGCTGCCGGCGGCAGCGGCGCCACCGGCGCCGCAGTCAAAGGCGCGGGTGCGGAACACGGTGTGTCTGAGAGCGTGGACGGCAGCGGGAGCGCAATCAGCGTGTTTGAGGAGCTTTGTGGCGGGGCCAGCTTCATCGGCGGCGGCGGCGGAAATGAGGAAGACCAAGAGACACCCTCGCAACAGCGGAGGCAAGCAGCACCTGCAGAGGCTCCCACCCAGCCGCCCGCGTCAACGTCCGCAGGCGGCGCGAGCGCCTTTGGTGCCGCGCCGTCTGCTGCGGCGCTGAGCCTGTCGCGCCTGCTGAGCCAGGGCTCAAGCCTGCTGAGCGCAGGCATGCAGGTAGAGCCGCAGCCGGCGCAAAGAGAAGCACTGATCTCAAGGCATGGGCTGCTTCCGGGCGCCGACCAGCCGCGCGGTGGCTGGCGGGGCCTCGATGGCAGGAGCGGCACCGTGCCGGCGCCAACCAGCTCCAGCAGCGGCGGCGCTGCGCCCGCCCCTGCGGCAGCGCCTATGGCCCGCTGGGGCCAGAGCAGCCAGCGGCGCGCCGCGCCCAGCAGCGGCGCCCTCGGCCTCTTCAGCGCCGCCGTTGGCGGAGCCCAGGGCCCCAGCGCTTCGCTGGGGCTCCCGCCCGTTGCGCTGCCTGGAGCTTCGCCCACAGCCGTGGGGCTGCAGCCGCGGCTGACCTTGGAGCGAGCGGCGCCCAGCCACGCGATCTTGGCTCTGCCCCACGGCCTTGCCGGTGCCGCAGCCGCCCAGCCCATTTCCCCTCGACCGACCTTACCGCGCGGCCTGCTGGGCGGCGGGCTTGGCCCCAATAGAGGCGCAGGGCTCGGGCACATGGGCCAGGGCCGCGGTGGCCGGCAGCAACCGTCACCTAGCATCACGGCAGGCACCGCGGCAACCGCAGCGGCAAGTCTGCAGCGCTTCGCCTTTGACAAGAGCGGTGAGTCGAGTTGACTACAAGGGTTCTAATTGGAAGCTGGACACCGCGCGTGCGGGCTGCCGCCGGCACTGCCCACGGCACTGGCTGGGCGCGAGCAGCGGCATTCGCAGGAGCGACCCAGCAGCGTGCTGCTGACTGTGCCCCACGTGTACGCTTGCTGCCTTCGCAGCTGCAGGCATGAGTTCGACGGGCGCAGCCAGCCGGGCGCTGTCGCATTTGCAAAACAAGGGGTCCCAGAGGCTCAAGCCTGGCTGGGGCGCCGCTGCACCACCTGCGCCAATAACGGCTCGGGCAATCGGAGGTGCCAAAACACCCTCGCAGCAGCTCAACACGAGGCAGCAGCAGTTGGGGGCCGCACGCGTCGCGCGAGACTGGGGCCAATTCGTCGACGATGAAGCGACGCCTGTGGTGGCGGGCGCGCGAAAGGCGTCGCCTCTGCTGCCAGGCACCTCTGCGGCTCGGCTTGCGCCTCGGAGCGGCAGCTGCGTAGCAGGTGGCCTCCCGTCGGTCACGGGCCTGGGGTGGCGCCCATTCAAGTCCATTGCTGGGGCCACAGAGCAGCAGCAGCAGCAGCAGCAGCAGCAGCAGCAGCAGCAGCAGCAGCAGCAGCAGCAGCAGCAGCAGCAAGGGGTCGCTGGTGAGCAGCGTGGTGGCAGCGAGCATGTGACCGCTGCAGGGTGGGGTGCTGGCGGAGCAGCGGTGGCTGCGGCTGAGCCAGCATCGGTGGTGGACACCAACGGCGGGGGCGGCGGCAAGCTGGAAGCAGCCCAAGTGGCCGACGATGCGTGGACCATGGACAGCGTGTTTTCATTTATGATGTAAACCAAATCAAGAATGAAGTCACTCAATTTCAGTCTCTTGTCTAGGTGCATGTGTATTTATTATAATAGCGCGCCACCTGTGTCGGTGGGGCTCCCACAGCAGGCAGCGAGTCCCGCCATGATGCACAGTTTCAGTGCAAGATGCTGCACCTGCGCCGCCCTGCGCATTGGGCTTGTAGAGATACTCTGAAGCACCTCTCTCATTGAATCGAGATACCGTACACGCGGTCGGTTGAGATCTGTTGATTCCGGATCAGGCGCGTTCTGTCGTGGCTCAGGCTGTATGAGGCTGGCAGTCCACGCTCAATTTGCAAAAATCCACCCTCGCGGCCTCGCCATGAGATACCCCCCTCAAGCTGGATACAACTCGGGCAGGCAAGCGTTTTGCGTTCACGGTAGCGCCGACTCATGCCGCTGCTTCTTACTGCCATACAGCGGCATTCGCCTCGATTATACAGCGGCCAACAACAACTCAAATTGCAGCCGCTCATCTCACCAACACGTGCCACCTCCTGCCAATCATGCCATCGCCTGCACTCGCACAGCAGCTCGCCGCCGTCGCTGGCCGCGCCGCTGCTGCTGGTGTCAGACATGGACGACACCCTCATCCCCGGCGCCCACTCCACGGGCGCGCGTGACGAGGACACCGCAGCGCTGCGGGACATCCTGCACGCGGGCCGCGAGGCCGGAAGGCTCCCTGTCGCCGTTGGTGAGCGCCGGTTAACATGCCCGTTTTTTTGGGGGATATCCACGCCTGCGGGCTGTATTCGCCCATGTCGCCCCCTACAGCAGCAGCAGGTGCCATGCAAACTTGGGTACAAGCTGGGACTGGAGTATTTCAGGTCTTTCGTACTCCTATACACGATCTCACTCCCATCAAAAAAAACCTTGCCGCAGCCATCAATACGGGCCGCACGCTGCCTTTGTTCGAAGAGGCGGCGCGCCACAAGGCCCATTGCCTGCCACGCGCCGACGCGCTCATTGCTGGAGTCGGGACGCGCGTATACTTTGCAGGCCAGGGCGGTCAAGCCGGTGCGTATTTCGCGTCTCAGACGAAAAGTCGGGCCAGGACAGCCGAGTGAGGCGGGCGTACAGAGGAGGCCGCAGGGCTGGCGCCTCAGCCTGCTCTTTTGGCGGTTGCGCATCACCTGCTGCCTGCGGCATAGCCAACGCCTGGACCGCTCAATTTGCTGCAGCGCACGTCGAATTCCACCCTTGGTCGTGGCTTGCAGCTTATCACGCTGCGAGGAACATGCACGTGTGCCATCGCACCAAACCCCCAGACTGGGTGGAGGATGCCGATTGGACTGCGGCCATGCAGCGAGGCTGGTCGCACGCCGCTGTCAAGTCGGTGGTGGACGGAGCTATTGACGCGTTTGGAGCGCACAGGTGGGCGGGCACGCTGCGCTGGCATGCGGCCACGGCGATGGCCAGTGAGCAGCCTCCTTGACTGTGTTCCCTTGCTGTGCACAGGGCCCGGTGCGAAGAAGGGGGATGCACACAGGCGCCTGCGCAGGTCGTGCGCATGCACATGCGCATGCGCATGCCATGCGGTGGGGGGGGGGGATGCATGCGTGCGCAGTGGAGAGGCCTATCGTCACCCCAAACGGCGCAGTCATTCCGTGTTGCTGTGCAGCAACGCATGCGTTGCCCGCACAATGATTACAACCCTCCCAACCCTCTGCCCCTCCGCCCCTCCCTAACCCCCACCGCCCCAGCGTCTATTGGCAGCGACCTATCGAGCAGCATGAGCACAAGGCCACATTCCTCTACCGCAGCAACCTTAGAGAAGACCTGTGCAGCATGCTGGCCTCTGGGCTGGAGGCGGCTGGCGTCGTGGCCACCATAATTGAAGGCGCAGCAGGTGACCAGCCGGGCTTCGCATCACGGCAAGTTCGAACTGCTTCATTATCCAGCAACGTAGCTTGTGCTGCTAATTGCACGTGGCGTCCCCACAGCATGCGTGCAGGTTTCATTGCATGGCTTTCTTGTTGATTTGCTGCGCACGCCACTTGCACATTTGCGCAGGTGGGGGCGTAGACTGGCGTTTCGTCGACGTCCTGCCGCGCGGCGCCGGCAAGGGCGCTGCAATGGAGCACGTGCGGTCGCGGCTAGGGTTTGGGGTCCATCAAACGGTGGCCTGCGGCGACGGCTCCAACGACCTGTTGATGCTGCAGCAGGTGCGCGATTGCGTGCGCTCATGTGCGCAACAGATGCGTCTGCTCATGTGTGCCGGGGGGCTGGGGCCGGCGCAGCGCTGTTTGGTTGCGGTTGCTCCTGGGAGGCCGCACCCGCGCGGTGCGCATGCCCACAACTTGCAGTTTGCCGGCCACATGCAGCAGCTGGCTGATATTAGCTTTGGCTTTGATGCGTGCACCTGTTTTGGTCCTGTCCGCATGCAGCTGCATCTCAATTGTCGTCATCTAATCGCTGCACCCACAGGCCAACCTTGCCGTATGTGTCGGAAACAGCCAGCCCGAGGTGGTGGCCTGGGCTCGGCAGGCGCAGGAGGCAGCTCAAGGGAAGGCCACAGAGGCCTCAACCCCTGAAAAAGGGACAGCAAAACACTCCAAGAGAGTCCACTTGGCGCGGCCCGAGGCGCAGGCGGCTGCTGGCATCCTGGAGGGACTGCACGCGCTGGGGTTCATCGCGTGAGGGAGTGGCCTGGGGCATAGCTGAAGGGTCTGAAACCCATTTGGATTCAGCTTTACCCGCATACATGATGTACATGTCAGCAGGGCAGGCCACCCCTGGCTGTTGCAGCAGGAGTGCGGTAGCGATGTTGGACTGATGGCTCATTGATTTGGGAACAGGTCGGCGGCTGCTCAACAGTACCCGTTGCCTGGACATGTCTGTGACTTGGACTGTGCTTTCAATTCATTCGCAGGAAACGTTCGCTACTGACAAGGCATGTGGTGTGTGGATTGCTGTGCTCGTGCTGTGGCCTGTAGGTGGGATGTTCAGTGTGCAAAAGCCCGCATGACGCCTGGGCGATGTGCACAGTCTGTGCATGATATGCCAAGCCACGGCTTATCGTCATGAAATATACCATTTCTAGCACATACGATACTCCTCGCCAAGCACCTGCTGCTGATACGATACCGCAGATCACGGAACGTGAATTGTATGTGCTCTCCTCACATTACAGCACGCGCACTGCTATTTATCGTTTTTCTGGTCACGGTAGGAAACCGACTGTGCTGCTTGGCAGGTTGGCGCTGCAGTGCTCAGCAAAGCTCGGGGGGCGATGCTGCGTTCCACTGCGGCGCTGACGAAGCGCGCTCCCGCGGCACGCCGGCCGCAGGTCCCAGCTGTTGAGTACGTTGAGGGCAACGTAGTGGAGGAGTGGAGTGGTGAGGCCTTGAAACCCCATTGCGCCAGCTCGAGCTGGACGCATGTAACTCTCGTTGAGCAGCCGGAGACCTGGGGACCGGCTGGCAGCAGCGACAGTGCCGAGGCTGGTGCAGTCAGCACCGTCCATCATGCTGCAATCCGGGCACTGCCGAGCTGAGACCCCTGCCCCTGTCCAACACCCGCAGAGTGCACTGTGCAGCAGCCCACCCACTGGGACCCTTCTGTCTTCGACGCCAGCCGTGAGTTGGCCGTCGGGCGGTTGTAGCAGCCACATGGGATTCCCAAGGGATTCCGCCTTATCAATAGTTCACGTGAAAGCCATTCACACCATGCACGATTGGTATGATTGCTACGATTTGCGCAAGAAAGCCGAGTCCGTATTAGACCCCTGCACCGCACATGGCATTTGTTTGGCTGTCCCCACCCCACCCCTCCCCGCCCCCGAACAAACAGGCAACTCTCTCTATCGCCCTCAGAGTAGATTACAAACCCTCCCTCCCGCTCAAATCAAATGTATTGGATATTCAATAAAGTCCATGGTCTGGAGGTAGACTTCAAGCGCGACGGCGCCCCTGAGGCGCCGCGGGGCTGCGCCGACCTGATCGATAACCTGGCGGCATGCGCCTCCGACCACGACCCGTTTGCGGATCCGCCCGTGCGCACGACCTCCCTGTCAACCTCGGACGGCTGCTGCCTGGCCGGCTGCGCGGAGGGCCTGCGGCGGGTGATTGGGGGGAGGCGTGGGCGGGGCGCTGGGCGGCGGGGTGGTGCCGCGAAACAAAAACCTGGCCTCGCTCGCCCAGGTGGGGGCTTTCGACAGCGGATTGTAGGGGCGTGCAACCATCCGTCCACCGACCTCGGGATTTTGCCCGCGTTGCAAGCCATGTGCGTGTTTCTGCGCGTTTTGATGCTGCGCCTTCTCCCTGAATGTGTGCTGCGTCGTCCACGACTGCCTGGGCAGGCGGCGCACAACAGCTGCCTGCAGGCACTGGTCGAGTCCCTCTGCCGCGACCCCAGAGCAACCAAGTACAAGGCCGGCCTGTGAGCGCCCCCTGTCGCATGCGTTGCGCTCCACGGTGCTTGAAGCACGCATGGTTATTGTGCACGCATCAACCTGTGACTGCAGATGAACCTTCTTGTGTCGATATGGTGATCGTGAGCGGCGCACCAACTTAGCTGCTGCTGCTGCTTTCACGGGCCGCGTGCTCTCAACCACGGGGCTAGGGCGCCGCCAAGTCAAAAAGCATCTGCAAACGCACCCCCCCCCCTGCCACATCCCAGATTCAATGCTTTCCTGCGCTGCGCCGATGTCAATCCCGGCTGCGGCGAGGGACACGCGGCGCAGGCGTGCCACGTGGATGCGTCCGGGGCAACGGTGTGCATTGCATGATCGTCCACATTTGACATGCGACCCATGACCACCCGTGCCGCGTGTGCCAGTTTTATGTGGATATATGTATATAAGCAGGCACACATGTAAAAGTCAGGGTTCAGAGCTCTCGCCTTGCACACTAGGAATGTGTTGTCACACAAATGGGCAAAGATGCCGCGAGATGGTTGTGGTGGCCTGCCATTCCTAAGTCGCTTTCAGCTGGTTCAAGGACGCTGCAGAAGCTGAGAAGCTGCTGGGAAGCTGTGACCCGCTCGCTCAAGTGCCCTGCAAAATAACTCAATCGGTCCTTGCACAGCCGCCATGCACGCACTGTGATCTACAGCGATGTTGCGCCTGCCTACGCGTCTAGTATGAGACTTCCTCACAGCAGCCCGTGCCCTGCTTTTCTCAGCAAGAACCCAGTAAAAGGGGCCTTCACATTACAGCACTACGGAGCAAATTCTTACCCTCGGGGCTCGGCTGCGCCGCCCCCTAACCGCTCCAGCACTGCCAGGTTGCCGTTGATGGGCCGCCCCGCGTTGACGCGGATGACGCCCGTCTGCAGCGCCGCGACGCGCCACCCCGCGCGGGCCCCTGCTGACGCGATGTATAAGGGGCTGTGCGCGTAGCGGCCTGTGGGCTGCAGCAGGTAGCCACCCGGCCCACGGGCGCCGAAGCCGTCGCCGTCGCCGCCGCTGCTGGGGCTGCTGGTGCTGCCGCTAGTTGGGGCTGGAGAGGGGCGTTCCTCTGGCAGGAGCTCGGTGGACAGCGCAAAGAGCGCCCTGCAGTTGTAGAAGAGGGGGACGGGCGCATGTGGGAGCGTGAGACCTGCGTGTTTGCCCTGTCGTGCTGAGGGGATCAGGGAGGAGCATGCACAAGCGGTTGGGCAGAACAAAGGTATCAGGGCTGCGGCTGCGGCACAGACTAACAACCCCCAATTGATTAGTCAGCGCCGTGTCAGCCACTTTCCCCCACACATGCATAAACACACAGCGCGCTCTCACCCCGGCTCTGCCGCCGCCGCTGCTGCGCCCAGCAGGGGCTCCAGGTCACCTTGATGCGGGAAATGGTGGGATCGTGTGCGATGGGGTCAAAGGAGGCAGCAAAGGAGCCAACTCGGTATGCAACACCCTACCTGCAGAGCTCCCAAGACATCAAATCGGCCAAGGTGACATCACCTACCTATGTACACCAGCACGTCGGCCGCCACCAGCAGGTCAAACAGCGCGCCGCGCACGCTGCTTGTGGGGGTTTCGCTGCGGGTGGCGCTGCCGCCTCCTTGGCGCTCCTGCCGCTGCGTTCCTCGTCCCTCTGCCTGCTGATGCTCCTGCTGTTGCTTCTGCTGCTGCTCCTGCTGCTGCTGATTATGATGACCTGCACCCTGCCCATCCTCCTTCCGCACCTCCACCTGCCGCTGCAGCCACTGCACCAACTCCCCCACCTCCACCAGGTCGTAGCACCCCCGCTCCACCGCCTTGCCGCACATCCCAGCAGACAGGTCCACCCCGACCAGCCGCCCGCATGCCGCCCGCAGCAGCGGGCCCATCAGGCCGGTGCCGCAGCCCAGGTCGGCCGCGGCGCGCCAGCGCGGGCCGCCGGGGCCGGCGCGCTGGGCGGCGGTGCGCCACAGCAGATCCCTGCGTGGCGCAGCCAGGCGCGGCGCGCCGTCTCTCGGTCAATCGGGGATCAGGATAAGGTGGCTCGTGGCGGGGCGAAGAAGGGGCAAACACAGGGCTCAGCGCCCTATGCCTAAAATGCAATGCATTGCCCCCATCGCGCAGTCTGCTCTTGGCTGCTACGTGCAGCAGAGTTGCCGCAGCGACCAGCAGCTCGCGCTGCCGCAACCC